GATAGCGTCACACCACGTGAAAGTGAATCCTGAGCGGTGAACTAATTTTCGGCAGCCGAAATTTCGGTGCATGTCTAATTATTGGCGACATCAGAAATGGATATTATATAATAGATGTTATTTTTTTACATTTTAGCAATTTAAAAATATTAAAAAAGGATTTTTTTTCACGGCACCCCTGCTCTCGACAGACTGCCGCGGCACCCCGGTTGGGAAACACTGTTCTAAGTCACCTAAATAGTTTCAATAGGTTCAAGCTCTTTCACCCACCCCCACGGTCCGTTGAGTTGCTTTAAATAAAATGAACAGCTAAATGCAAGTAATGTCACATACTGTATATTTTTCTATGAGGAGTTGCATATGCGCGTTTAACGTTACGGAACCCCCAGCGTTTTTTCCTCTTTAATGACAGCAGAAAACCTGAACATCTGTCTAAAGCAAGACACACACAATACCACATTACAATGGAGGGAACATCTCAGGTGGAATATTAAAGGCACGAGAAGCCTAGATGCTCTTTTTACTATGAACCCTTGAAACAGGACCACGACCATGGCCTGGTTATTAACACGTGCTGTACTGAAGGTCCTAAGCATTCCCTGAAGGGATTGTACGTTCATCCACTCAAACACGCCTGTCTTTTTGCTTGCTACATAATCTGATGTGAACAAAATACAAGCAAATCTAATTCAATCACCTTGACAGAAGAATTTACTGTAAGTGGGATATGTGAGTGGAAAATGAAAAAAAATTGTTTTATTTATTCAGTCAACATCAACTGCATCACATACACGCAAATGAATTGTCTGTATATGCAGGATCCAGAGCAGAAACTAAGTGACTCAAAAGTGTTTAATAATTTAGGGACTCCTCCATACTCAAGACAGCATCCTGAACACAATGAACCACTCATCACTCATTTGACATGATCGCTTAGCATGTTTTTGGCAGCAGAACTAGATTTCCAGGAGAACATTATAAGCTTGTATATAAAATGTCTTACATAAAAATTATTGTATGTTAAGTAAATACTATTTTAGTTCTACTTCAAAATTTCATGTTTAATTCAATGTGTTACTTGCCATTCTTTGTAATTATTTGTAGAATTTACTAGCAATTTCTGAGTAAAAATTGTTTCTAATTGCTAATTGCATTCTGGCTCTATGGTATTCTTAGAAACATTGAGTAAACAATTACTGAACCATGTTCCCATGTTTTAAATATAGTTTTAAAATACATTCACCTTTGAAAATCTAGTTGATAACAGTTGATAAGACCAGATGGTTAATTGTACGTCATAAAAGTTTAGTATAAACCATGGAAATGCCTCTGATGAATATCATTATGTGAAATATGTGAAATATTTAAGGTGTTGTCAGAGCAGATGATAGCAGTTGGTATCTGAGGAGAGTCAGAATGTGCTCTTTACAAACACCTGCTGTCTAGAGCAAGAAGACCACATAATGCGCACAGTCTTACAGCAAAAATATCAGCTCTATGTGCCTGCGAAGACTCTAATTACCAGTGTAAATGTATGTAAAGACTGTCAAACAAGTATGATCTCAAACAATCATGTCTCTATTCTTTAGTGCTTCTTAAATTGATCATAACTATTTTTTATGTGCAAAATATTGAACTAGAGTTACAGCTCTAAAATCACTGTCATGTAGAAGGCCATTGTACTGTCATGTCTTCAGTTCTGTGGGCTACAAACAAAAAGAGTCCAGGCTCTTTCTGGTTGTTAATAATGCAGGAGGTTGTGTGAGTAAATGGGGCAGGCGGTAGATCCTATGTGGAGCCAGTGGAAATGGAAGCAGCAGAGCAGAGGATGAATAATACACACAGGTGACATGTTTGAATGCAGAAAGTCAAGGATGAGAGACAGAGGCTTTCAATGGTTCAGCTTAATGCTCATTAAGATGTTAACATTCGTAATGAGTTTAATTCTGTGTGGTAGCTGCGGGGTAAACTTCAGAAAGCTGAGGTTAATCAGGTTCTCCAGCTGGCTTTTCATCTAAATTGAGTATGGCGTATAAGTGCTACAGTAATTTTGTAAATAAATAAATAAAAACAACATTAAAAGTCAAACAAGCAAATTGTAATAACAAACAAACAACTTTACAATACAAACACAAACAAACATGAAGATGGTGGTGTTTAATTTCCTTATTGTGCACTACTAATTACAAAACAAACAAACACGAATTCTGGAGATGGTAGTGTTTATTTCCCTTATTGTGCACTATTAATTACAAAATAAACAAACAAACATACATTTTGGAAATTATAGTAATTTATTTCCCTATTGTAAATCACTAATTACAAAACAAACAATCAAGCAAACATGAATTCTGGAGATAGTGTTTAATTATTTTATTGCGCACTACTAATTACAAAACAAACAATCAAACAAACATTAATTCTGCATATGGTAGTGTTTAATTCCCTTTTTGTACACCACTAATTGCAAAACAAACAAACATGCATTTTGAACATCATAGTGATTTATTTCCCTATTGTACATCGGTAATTATAAAACAAACAAACAAACAAACATGAATTCTGGAGATAGTGTTTAATCACTTTATTGTGCATCACTATTTATAAAACAAACAAACAAACAAACATGCATTTTGGAAATGATAATGGTTTATTTCCCTATTGTACATCACTGTTTATAAAACAAACAAACATTAATTCTGCATATAGTAGTGTTTAATTCCCTTTTTGTACACCACTAATTACAAAACAAACAAACAAACATGCATTTTGGAAATGGTAGTGATTTATTTCCCTACTGTACATCACTAATTATAAAAAAAACATGAATTCTGGAGATGGTAGTGTTTAATTCCCTTTTTGTGTACAACTTTACAATACAAACAAACAAACAAACAAACACGAATTCTGGAGATAATAGTGTTTAATTGCTTTATCGCCAGAAGTGTTCTTCAGATGTATTTGCTAGTTAAACAACAGTAAAAGACACATACAGTATATACATTAGACATGATTGTTTCTGAACTGAGTCTGTTATATTTATTCACATAGTTTTCATTTAGCAGAAAGTGCACAGTCTTGATTTTTGTTTTACACAGCACAGTGTGATGCATACAGTCACTGAAAGAGGCCCCATATGCCACAGTCAGCCATGATGCGGCCCTGGGGATCCTCTGTGCTCTCCCCAGGCACAACACTGTCGTGGACATGAATTTCTCTTAATGTGATGTTAACTGCCCTATATAGCGGCAGTTAACATCACATTAAGGTAGCACTGAACAATTATAAGTGCACCTCCAGTAAATTGCATTTCTATTTAACCCTCTACCGCACGCATTATGATAGACCTATAGAAAAAAATTTAAAGAGACAGTGGCAAGGAAATGAACACAAAGAGTATGTTGCCATATGGCTACACCATGCGGTAGAGGGTTAATATAGCCTACTGCCTTTTTGAATGTATTTTTTGTTGGAAGAATGAAACACTACCACAGAAATTGTTTGTTAAGCTGCAGAGTCAGACATACTGAAATGTCATAGGGTCTTTACTGTAGGAATGCACATTGTGTGCATTGCATTCCACTGCCGTTTGCCCAACTTCTCCTGGCACTAGATGGCGATGTATCATACGCAAGTCATTGCAACGCGAGAAGAACTGCACTGAAATCAACATGGCGTCGTGCAGCAGGGTTCAAGTGATCTCACTCTACAGGATGCTTATGAAAGAGAGTAAAAAATTCTCCTCCTATAATTACAGGTACGTTTTTACTAGTCACTGTGAAAAATAGACTGTATAAAATATGAATATATAACGTACATTCTTGCATTTTGTCTTTGTCTCGTTTTATCACTTTTAACGTTACTTATAAAGTATTACAAAACTACTAATAAAACCAGTTATTTAAATGATAAGCGCTTATATGTATATATGTAAATAACGCATGTCTTTTTAATTCGTTTTAGATTAAAACTATTATTTACCATCTACTGATTATTAACTATAAAAATACTGCTTGTTTTCAGAACATACGCACTTCGCAGAGTGAAAGATGGCTTCAGGGAGAACCTTCATGTTGACAACCCCAAAACACTGGATATGCTCATAAATCAAGCTAGAGAGAATCTGGCGGTCATTAAGAGACAGGCAAGCAATGCCAGCTTTGTTTAATATTCCAGCATGATTTTTATGGCCAACGAACTTGAATGGCCTGATTCCAATAGAAGAAGGTCTTAATATTTTAGAGTTACTAATAATTAATATTACATTTAATGTTCTATATCTAAGACGTATCACTTATCTTTTCTCACAGGTTTCCATTGGCCATCTGTATTCTGCTCAGAGGACTATTGTTGAAAAAGAGCCTCAATTATAAATGTAATGTAATTCAGCAGCAAAATGTCTGAGTTGTTAATAACAAATCTGTTTATCCTACGAGCTGCACCACTAGTTGACCTTCTCTAAAATTGTATATTATAGTATACTGTAATTGTATGTTTGTGTTATATTTTTTAAGAATATCTCTCGAATATGATAATCGCTGTAAATAGAAAAAAAAGCAAATATCCTATCTACATTTAAGCATGTAAACATTTTACCTTCAATATGGTAGCATGACTTAATTAAAATGTGTTCATAATGATTAAGACAAATGATCATGCAACTAAAAGGTCAAGTTCACTTTATTGAACTAAATTTCAGATCGTTGCACCAAGTAAATTCTTGGACTGTCAAGTAGTCTGAATCCTTAAAATGTAGTTCTGTCCCTCATTATTGTCCCAGTATTCCCCATGATCAGTCCGACAATACACTGCGAAATGCACCGATGAATCTTTGTCGAAACAGTGTGGCGTGTGCAAAATGAAGTCAAACTTTTCCCACTGTAGCACTTTTCCTTCATTCAGTCTTAATGCAGCTTGTATATCTGAAAATGTCAGCCAGTTATTGAAAGTGTACCTGACCCCAGCTTCTCTTGCGTTGCTCTGTATCACTCTGATCACACCCTTCACTTCCGAAGCGGTTATTGTGACACTCTCCAATGCGACTCCCAGACGGCGTGACTTCATATCAAACTCCAGCAAACTAACAGGCATGTCAAAGGCTGGTACTAAACATGCTGAAATCAGATCATCTCCATGTTGAAGCTGCTGGTTTGGAGGACGACTCTGGATTCTAGATGACACATTGACATTGCATGTTTCATCTGCATCATCAGAGATGTCAAAGTGTCTGACGTTTGCCAGATTCAGCCCCATCATGTCTGCAAACTGGACTCTCTTTCCACGGACTACAGTCGGATGTTCCTTGTGTGAGGAAGATTCATCCTGGTATAGATCTACAGGCAGAGATTTGGCTCTGTGCCTGTCAGTTTTTGGTGAATAAGGTGATGATTCTGGTTCAGACAGACACTTGGTCTCGTCCAAAGTTTGAGTTTTCTCTGACTGCTCAGTGTCCATGTGCATTCATCATATCGACCAATTCCGATGTAATTGAGGAGCAGAATGTCTTTTAAATATAAGCACCGGACCTGCAGACTTGCATAAGAAAGATGCTTGACAAATACTACGTGCACATGAGTTGCATCACAGCAACGTCACATGTCTTTGCAAACAAATGGGTGATGTCTAATCAGCAGAAAATGACTTTTAAAAGCCAGAAACCAGCCCAGGGCTTTTATGATCTTAGTTATTTAATACATTGTGCAACCAAGAGCATTTTCATTTATTTAAGCTATTTTGATAAGATTTTTCTTCTTTAATATCATAAAATTCATATTTATTTAGAGTAGCCCAAATTTTTTAAAATAAATTTGTTCCCTAGTTAGACTAAAACAAATGTTAATGTATAATAATAAACAAGAATCGTAAAGAACATCCAATCTTTAAAGTCACATTTAGTCTTCTACTGTATGTAATCTGGTCTGTCAATCATTGTCTAGTGCAGAAACAGTATGAGGTACTGCAGAGGGATTGTGCGCACATGACAGCGAGCACATTTTTCCGCACGTGTATCTGTTTACACTCTTCATGACACAACAGAGTGCAGTCAGTTTCATAATTATTTTCTCATCATTTACTCACCAAGTTGTTCCAAGCCTCTATGAGTTTCTTTGTTCTGGTGAAGGTATTTTGAAGAATGTTGGTAACTAAACTGTTTGGTTACCAACATTCTTCAAAATATCTTCTTTTGTGTTCAACGGAAGAAAAAAGTTCATACAGGTTTGGAACAACTTGAGGTTGAGTAAATGATGACAGTTTACATTTTTGGGTGAACTATCACTTTAATCTTAGAGGATTCTTTTGGATTGGTTCCAAATTATGATTAAATTCCCTAACAATCCATTATGATTTGGGGACTTTTGACACTGGGTTTTACATATCCTATAAATAACAAAACAAAACAGGAAAAAAAGATAAATGTTCTAAACCAATTTCCTTGAAAATGTCTTACAAATTCAAAATTTACAAAAAGGGGAATTGCTAGAGCTTTTTTTTGTGTGAGACGTTAACACTGCAACATATTATTATTATTATTATTATTTAGTTCTAAAATAGTTTCTAGTTTTGGTAGTAACTCGAGTAAGTTTTAAGTTAACGTACATTTATAATAACTCAGAATAACACCGACGTTTCTTTTATTTAAACAGATAAGGTAACAAATCTGAACTGTTTTATTGTAAATTTTTTAATTGAAAAATAACCAATTTACATACAAACTCTGAACTATTTTACTCCTGCCGTGAGCAGGAAATGACGTCAAATGTTTGCGACAAAAGAAGTTGGTACCATTTTTTAAACATTAAACCACATAATCAGGGAGTTTCATCAGCTTATTTCTTTTTGCTCGGTGGATGCCATAAAAATGTAAACATTGCGCATAGATGTCAAAATGTCGCCATGGCATCTCTGCAGAGCTGGAGAAGTGCCCGAGAAGCCTGTTGGTGTGCGAGAAATCAAACTTCTTGAATGAAAAGTCTCAACATGACATCCACGTGTCGAAGCACAACTTTAATTACAAAGTGAGTTTATTCATTTAACATTTGCTCGACATATTAATTTTACAACTCTGCTTCGATTGTATTTGGATCGCGATAGTTTCTCACGGGAGTTGTCTCCTCAGATCTCCGTGCTGATGCCTGAATGTGGGATCCTGCCTGCTAATATCAGCAGTGTCATCAACAGCTTCAGCCCGTATTATTTAGTGCGGGATCTGCCGGTTTATGAACTACTGGAAGAAACATTCCTTGAATCTCTTGTAAAGAAGGGTAGGAGGGGAAATATGCTATTGGTCATCTCTGGCATATTGCTTCTTTTATTTAAATTTTTTTTGGTATTGAGTTAGATATTTAGATTCTTAAAAATATATATTTTTACAGGAAACTTCTATGCGCTTTCTTACAGCACCAAAATTGATGAAGATAATTCCATTGCACTTCTTTCCAGCGGTAAGCAAGATAATTTCACACATAAACATCAGTGTTTGGATCCTATGGCCGGTTGCATAAACCGCTTTAGACTAGTCTTAAGGGGGTCATATGATGCGATTTAAATTTTTCCTTTCTATTTTAAGTGTTACAAGGTCTTGGTGCATAAAGAAGATCTGTGAAGTTGCAAAGACTAAAGTCTCAAATCCAAAGAGATATTCTTTATAAAAGTTCAGAGTCAGCCACACCTACCTAAAACGGCTCGTTCTAACACGCCCCCACATGTCTACGTCACTATGTGGGAAGATTTGCATAACGCCGCCCAAATGTTTACGCAAAGAAAGAAGGCGTAACTTTTATTCTCGCTGTAGTATTGTTGACGCTGCAGCCATGTCATGAAGGCGCTGTGTGTTTCGTTGTGAAAGCGAAACTACTTTGTTTGGTCTTCCAAAAGAGGACGGAAGCTGCTTCGTCATGCCTAGAGCTGATCCGTGCTGGTCGCTGAGGAAATACATCAACTTCGCGCTGTGGATCGCCGGATCGGCTTTCACCGAGTCCAGCCCGAGGTCGTCACATGTGGTTGCCGCAAGCCCACTGGCCGCGCCGTTCCTCACTCAAGCCCACCGTGTGTGACGCTGTGTTTCGTTGTGAAAGCTACTTTGTTTGGCCTTCCAAAATAGTCTTCCCTGCTAAAAAAAAAAGCAACAACAACAGGTAAACCAGCCTTAGCTAAAGAAGGGCCAAAACCCCTCTAAAACCAGCTTGCTGACCAGCTAAATCCAACCAACCAGCTTAGGCTGGTTTTAGATGTTTTTTTTTTTCAGCAAGGTTCTCATTATTTCTGCAGGACTAGTCATAATTAAAAAAATATATATTTTACATAAAAATAATCTTTTTTCTTTTTTTCATCTTGATTTTTTATTTATTTAAATATATTATATTGATATATTAAAATTAATATACTTGCTAGTTGGTTTTATTAAAACATCTGCTAAGAGTTCTGACAAGAAAATTAGCATATAGATATTGACTAAAGGCCACAAAATGTTGATTAAATGGGGTCTTTAAAGCTTTGACCTGTAGTTGTAATCTCTGCATTTTAACAAAATATAAATGTTAATTTTAAACTGTTCTTCCCAGGTCAGTTAATTTTGTCTCTAGATAAAGACACATATGAACAACTTGGCGTGGAGGGACGTCCATCTCTGTACAATCACAGAAAAGCCATGAGATTTGGTAAATCTTTTTATTCTGAGTAGCTTTAATGCATGAAATTAAAGTGTTTTAATCTGTGAACATAAATACAAGTATTACAATTATGAAATGTCTTTGTTTTGCAGTCGTGACTCTGGATCTCACTGACAAACGCTTGACCCCAGGCACCAAACGATACCAGCGGGTTCTGTCGAGTTTAAAGGACAGACTACCACTCAGATATGACTTTTTTTTCAGTAAATACAGCACAGGTTTGTCTTAAGTAGTCCATCATCACCATCACTGGCCTTAACACATTTTTCAATTGCCTTAGCTGTTTATATTCATGATTTTTTCAGGTGCAGATGAAGATAAGACTCTTCACAAGCTGTTGTCCCAATACTCATACGAGGAGCACAAGCCTGCTGTTAGCCATCACACCCTGAAAGAAATACCATGTCCCACACTTTACCCATCAGATATACAAGGAAAGACTCTGTCATGTGACCCACATCACTTCTTGGAGTGGCTTGGAGCAGTTAACCTGGACATCAGTTGGTGAGTGAGCTGAGGAATGATTAAAAAGTGTTAAATTCACAAAATCCAGTTGCTGTATCATGCAGCGCTCTTGTATGATCTGTTAAATATGTGAATTGGCTCCATATATTGTACAATTAGTACTTAAAGACTGTGGCACAAAGAGACAAAAATGAAATTGTCTATGACAGTAAATGAGTTCTGGGTGTGTTTGACTTTATTTCTCAATTTAACTGTGTATGTTTTCAGTGAAAATGCCGCTGACAGTTTCCTGTCTACATATGTGTGTCCAGAGCCCCAGAGCTCTGTCAGTCAGGCCTTGCTGTGCACCGTTACTGGCTTTATCTCACCTGAGAATGTGTTTGTGCTGCTGCAAGAACTCAGGTGAGAGCCCAGCATTACTGTCACATACTGTATCCCAACTTTAATGTGCAGAGACAACTACAAGTAAGCCATTTGTAGATTACTTTCCCCATAAACACTGTGGCATGGTCCCAGCGTTGATTAAGATTATTTTCACAGTTCTGTGTGGTAATTTTTGTGAAAAAGTGCCTTTAACTGTATTGAATGTGCACTTGTTGTGTACTTCAAATCTTAAAACTGTACTTATAAAAACTTTAATATTAATGAAATAAAAGGCCACTTAAGTGTACTTAAAGAGTACACTTCAAAAATT